TTTTGCGAATGCCGTTTGGCCTTTCAGGCGCCCCAGCAACATTTCAGCGATGCATGGACATTGTGTTAAGACCAGTTCTCGGAAAGTCCACATTTATCTATTTAGACGATATCATTATTACTAGTGATAATCTAGACCAACATGTACAGGATTTAAGACAGGTTGTTTTCTTTATTAAATGAGGCCGGTCTAAAAGTTAATGTCGAAAAAATGCAAATTTGCAGCCCCTGAAGTAAAATATTTAGGTTACAAATATCGCAAAAAGGGATCGAGACAGATGAATCAAAAATAATCGCTGTACAAAAAGTATCCGACTCCAAACACGGCAAAGAAGCTCTCTTCTTTTCTAGGACTTTGTTCATATTATAGGTCCTTTATAAAAGATTTTGCGGGGCTATCGCTGAGCTATTGTTAAAATTAAAAAGGAAAAAGGCAAGATTCTCGTGGACGGCCGAAGCCAATAGTGCTTTCGAAAAATTAAAACAAGCATTAACGCAAGCCCCTGTGTTGAAATTTCCTGAAAAGGATGATGAAAATTTAGAAATTTCCGCGGATGCTTCGGATTATGCGGTAGGAGCGGTACTTTCGCAAAATCAGCAGCCAGTGGCATTTTTTAGCCGAACTTTAAATCAAACACAAAGAAACTATTCCGCGACTGAGAGAGAGGCACTTGCAGTTCTGTTAGCAGTGCAAAAGTTCCGAGTCTATTTTGGAAAGGACGCGCCGATAACAGTATATTCTGATCATGCGGCGGTAACTAGATTGTACTCTGGAAAAAATTTATCCCCAAGGTTAATAAGATGGGCACTCAAGCTGCAAGAATATAATCTGGTAATCAAGCATACCCCCGGAAAGGAAAATATCGTAGCAGATGCCCTGTCACGAATTAAATTAGACGAACAGGGTAATACCGTAAAAGTTGCAATGCTGACAGCGTGTACAATAAATTCCCGAGAAACTGTAATAACCGAACTGGGTAAGGATCCTGAGTTTGGAAGTATTTATGAGTATTTGAAGGATCCTGAAATTTTAGCCACCAAGATATTGTGCGATAAGAAATAGGGCGGCCCATTACGAACTAATAGATGGTCTATTATTTTATACAAAAACTACGAATTCCAACAACGAATTTCGACCTGTTATCCCAGCTATTAAATTAAATTAGCTATTAGATTAAATTTACTGCAAGAGCTGACCGATTGACAGCCCTTTAGCTTCTCATGGCTGGTATTCGAAAAACTACATCCAACGCGTACGCGAGGCAGTCTACTTTCCTGAACTGCAAAAGTTAACAAGGGCGTATGTCCAGTCCTGCCCAACATGTCAAAGCCGTTAATTATATTAATTTCCGCCCGGCCGGGTTTCTAAATAGTATTAAATCCGAATTTCCAAATGAAATAATCGGCATCGATTTATTGGGCCCTTTCCCAAAAAGTCAGTTAAACAAAAGTCGCTATCTCCTTGTTATAGTTGATCATTTTAGTAAATGGACCGAAATTGTTCCCTTAAAACGAGCCTCCGCGAAATTAGTTTACCGATTCTATTTTAAATAAATATATTTTAAAATACGGGGCGCCCCTAAAAGTTATATCGGATAATGGTCCTCAATTTGTAAGTAATATATTTGAAGACATGTGCCAAAAATTGGGCATACATTTAAAATGGTCCCGTATCGGCCGCAATCAAATATAGCGGAACGGGTCAACAGAAATATAGTGAAAATTATCCGTAGTTATGTTAAAATTTTCATAAAAGCTGGGATAAACTATGTCAATGAATTTGCTTTCGCCCTTAGGACCGCAAAACATGATACAACGGGCAAAACTCCTGCTGAGTTATTTCTAGGCAGAAAGGTTATAACACCGTTAGATAAACTATTTTATGTGCCACTAAGAGCCCCAGAATTTAAAATGGGTGATATAGAAAAACTAATAAAAGAAGCAAAAAAGAATACGGAAGTAGCACAAAGAAAACAAAATTGTATTATGACTTGAAACGACGGGGAGTAACTTATAAAGTAGGGGATGAAGTACTAAAAATTAAGCATTCACTTTCTTCAGCACCAGAAGATAAAACTGCCAAATTTTTTCCACGCTTGAAGGACCATATGTTATAGAAAAAATAACTCACGCTGTTGTAGTGTTAAAGGCAAGAAATGGTGAAAACCTGTTCCGCAAACATTGACCAGATAAACCATTCTATGACCGTAATAAAATGCAAATCTTTTCAGATCTTTTGCAGGATCCGGTACGGCAGACACCGCAGGTACAAGTTCCAGAGGTGGGAAAACGACAAGTACAAGGGCAAGCCAATGAGAGACAGAAGCAAGTGAAAAGAAAATTGCCCCGCGGAAAAATTGAAGGTACAAAGAAAAAGAAAAAGAAGCCGTTCCACCGTCCAAAAAACAGAGTTCACAAAACACCCCCAGAATGAAGAAGGTAGGTAGAAAGGACGGCAACTATAAACCCGGCTGTGAAACGGAAGATTGACTCATCCGACAGAACTCTCCGCAGCAAAAGTCGCCGAACTGCGGAAGGGCCATCAGCGGCGGAGGAAAAAGTACAAGAAAAATTTGAACGGCCAACACGAGGTCCAAGCAGGATCACACGAACAGAAGTTTCCCGGTTCCACCAAGACCAGCTGCCTTCAAACGGCCAAGACCACAAGCAGAGCACAAAAGGAAGATGTTCAAGGGTGGCCGTAGTGGTGAAAAACGGAAGCTTCCAGAGGAAAGCACTGAAGGGCGAGCCCGTACAAGAAGGAGGATCAACCAAGCTACGGTCTGCAGCACCTTTAAAGACTGGGCCCAGAAAGGATGTCTGAATATTACAAAGATAAGTAAAATTTTATGTTACTTTACAAACTTAAGTTAATCTTTCATTCTTACTGCAAGTGGCAGATTTCAAGAAGTTTTACCTCATGCGAGGTCTACCTTTATCGCCAAAAGGGCGAGAAATGAGTTGTGACCGATTTTCTTATTATGTTTTTCAATTACTCGCGCGTAAAACTAAAGTTGATGTATAATAGCGTTGTATAAAGACTTAAATATTGTAAAAAGTTATTGTATAAATTTTTTTAAAACATTCTAACAAGAAAGAAGTTTTAGTCTGAAAGACTTTTTGAAATGTAGTATTATTTCAATGTAGAAAGAATTGGCACTTGCTTTGAAAAGAATAGAAGTTAACAATGTACTACTAATGTATGTTTTCAAATGTGTAAAATTAACGGCATCTTGATATGTTCTTGTATACATGTGAACTGTTATTTTGAATGTTTAGAAATAACGTGATATGGTAAAAGTGAAAGTAATGTTAAAAAATTTGTTATTCGTGTGACTGTAAAGATTAAATCATGGTGAATATGTGTGTTAAAGGTTGAATGATGTAGTTAGGCTCTCTGACGCTACACTTTAGAGTTAGCCACTTTCAGAATAGTACCTCAGGGTCTAGAGTTGAAATTAGGGTGTGTTAAGAGGTCTCGTATGTTGAATTTTAACACGTTAGTGTTTTGATTGTAGGAGGAAGTGTTGAACACATAGACAGAAACACATTCGTGTTTGGTGTTTTTACAACACATGTCAAGAGAGCACGGGGAGAGATAATTAAAATAGTCATGAATGACATAAGAATGTTAAGAAAAGTATATTCTATATGTTATTTGCAATGTCATTCTGTAACATTTCATTAAACTAGTTTTCCTTCCAGATCTCTGGAAGGAACCAGAATTGAATAAAGCTCCTGTTTTGATGCAGTACAGATGAAAAAGAAAAAAGATTGTTGTATATTCCGGGAGCTGCTATTGTAACAAATTTCTTTCTTTTAAAATTTTCTAGTTTCTTGCTAAGTTATGATTGTAAAGTTTGGCCTCGCGTTAGTTTCTAGAGCTAAAAGTTTTCAACAAGGTCGTTTTAGAGCTCAGTTTCAAACTAATTAACTCTGGCGGGAAGTATGTAAGGATCTTAAGTTTTACTAACGTTTATTTTATTTTAAATCTTTACTATCACTTCTTATTTTCTACTTCCGGCCAGAATTATAAGCGTGAAGGAGTTTATGCAAAATTGTCTGGCGAACGCCAAGTATTTAAGTGTGGCCTTTTTGCCAAGCAGAAGAGAGGAAGCCGTGAGTTCGAAGCAGGCCGCTTACCTTAGAAGTTACGCAGTTGCTACTTTGCCTTCCAGGCCAGAGGTTTTAATCCTCTTGATAAAATTAAACGTATTGTAGTGTTCACAGTCTCTGTGCTACATACGCTTTCTGTTATTATAAGGCCAATCTTATTCTAAAGTTAAATTAGAGTTTAGTTTTATTTTGATATCTTTTAAGTTAGACCCCGAGTGGAGGGTCATTGTATTCCGAAGTACGGAAGTCATTGTTATAAAGGGAAAAATAAAGGGTTTTGTATACCCTTCGTCTGTATCCTGTCTACTTACTACAATTAGTGAACATAGCTTTAGTAAGCTCTCTGTTCTAGTCAGGTCATTGTATGTTTCCGAAGAAGGTTAGAAGAAACATTGAACCTGATACCCTTACTACTAAAACAATTAGTAAAAATTCTAAATTTTGACCACCTACAAGATCCTTGTCAGAAAGCCCAAAAATTTCAGCCACAACAGTAATTTAAAATAAGTATGGTTCCAATTCAAATATCATACCTTTTTATGTAATAATTGGAACTTATTGCAAAAGATTAGAAGGATACCACTTACAACGTGATTATTAAAAATTTGGGGCAAAATATAAATAAGTAAACTGCTAAAATGCTTTCAAATTTTATTTAATTAAATTATTAAATTTAAAAGTAAATAGATAATTAAAAAAGCAGACAAAGTAGTGTACTAACTATGAAAAAACATAAATGAATATGCAAATGATTTAAACACTAGAAGGAAAAAAAAAAAAAAAACAATTCCAATAACAGTTTTTTTTACCAGTACTTAAATGATGAAGCTCAAAATTATATATATATATTACTTCCATTTAAAAAATAATACAATTTACACTTACCTTACCTCGTGCAAAATGAACTCAAACTTGAACTCTAACTGTTGTAGGTGTTGTTTCTAAATCGTTATCTACTACTGAATCACTTTCTTCATTACTCATCTGGAATGGAAGTATATAACTATTTTCCAATCCATGGCCATTTACTTCTACTCTGTCTTCATAAACAGAGACTGTAGAAAATGCTGAAGTCTCAGGAGGAGTCTCGACAATGCCAGTGAATACAATATAACTGATGCCATGACTATCTCTTGCATAGCCAGTCACATGACTATGCCCACTGAAATATGCAACCACACATTTATACCGATGGAAAATATTCATAACCTCATCATAGTTCCATAACAAGCAGCTCCAATCTGTGCTGTCAGGACATAAACTTACATGACCTGCAAAATATGAATTATAATCAGACTCATTTATAAAAATATTTAATGAAAACAATTAATAGTAAACTTTTGCTGTAACAATTAGAAAGAACTTTGCAAACTAAAATTTCAGGACCATAATAATTAAGAACTGCATAGAAAATTTCTAGACTTTTCTATAAATCAAATTTTGTCTAATATCTAAATGATGATAAATTCCTTTAGTTCTATTTCCAGTTTCTCAAATCTTCCATTTCTTTAGACTTTAGAATATCATTTATATAAAATACTTTTTTCTAGGAAAAAAGTAATTTATATAAATGATATTCTTGCTATACACTTTAAATATTTTCACATAAAGGACTTTTCAGCTCTTCAATTATATCTGCAGATCTGAATGTGAATCTTGTGCAATATCAAGTAAAGAAGTTAGAGTCAATTAAAAACAAATTAAAATGTTGCTTGAACTAATATGGAAATTCTCCCAGTAATATATACCAAAATGCTATTAAAAATATTAAAATCACATAAATATCAATAAAATTCTTTTATGTATATGCTAACAAAAAGCATATGAAATTGTTTATTTATTTTTACCAAACACGATGACTTTTTGTCCAAGTTCATCCGATTCCTTCAACTCTCTGTCAAGCCACTCCATCTGTTCTGCACCAACTGCGCCGTTCATTTGTTGAAAACGGACATCTAAGCCTTCCAATGTGCCATTACAATCCCAGTCATCAAAAACGTTATGCCCATGCATGGTGGTGAGTATTGCTGAAGCTTCTTTATAACTTGGATGATGTGTATCGTAACCTAGAACACTTATATCAAAACAATCCAGAGAAATACATTTTAAAGACTTCACAGGACAAAATTTATAATATAAAATAGGAGCAACTAATTCTAAATTTTCTTTCTGTGGTTTGTAAGGGCAAAATACTTCAGGTGGTATATTAATTTTCATGACTGATTCATAAAATAGTTGTGCAAGCTCATTCCTGTTGAAATTGTAGAGTTCATGATTACCAACTGTATGGAATGTTGGAATAGAACTATGCCTTTCAAAATGTTCCAGAGTATTTTGAAGAGCAGTATACGATCCTCCAAGGGAATGATTCAGTCCATCAATAATGTCTCCTAATTGCAATACGAACTTTACTTTCAAATGAGAGTTATTCCAATGTTTAAATGCTTGATCAACTTGACTCAGAGATCCTCTGTAGAAACGGACTTTAGAGGGATCATATGCTGCAGGTCGATCATCACAATCAGCATACTGAACATCCGTCAAGACACCAAAAGTCACAAGAGGTTCTTTAATTTTATCCATTCTGAACCTGAAACAAAATTTAGGCTCACATTCAACACTGCTGTTAGAAAGTATGAGAGGGGGAGGGGGAAAAAAGAGAATACAAAATGTAATTTACAAGTTTAAAGTTTCTCATTAAACTGTTAACAGAGAAATTGTGTATTCAACTAATCAACTCTATGGTTAAAGAAACAGAGAAATATTAGGTCGATCAGAAAGTAATGTCATTTTTATACAGTGTAATTTGAAGAGTATTATATGAAGTATTCCTTCCCATACTCAGAAAAACATTTAGTTCTGTTGTAAAATTTCCCATCATTTTCATTATAAATACCCTAAACCAGATGAGTAATGAAAAATTGACAGCAAATCATTTGACACTGAAATCTTTACAAATTTCCTAAAGGTAACAGTGCTACAATGTTTAGCAGAAACATTTGTACTGCATATACAAATATATCAGATGTTTGCAAATGTCAGCACTTTTTTATTAAATTCTGGTCAGGAAATTTCACTCTAATGGATGTTCCTCATTTGGAGAGACGAGCAAGGCTGGCCAATGGTCAGTTGCAGGCAACTACTGGATATGATTTACCGATTTATGAACAAAGTGCAATTACAGACTATTATGTAAGAGTGCCTTAAGCAAATTAGAAAGGTCTACAGACTCTTCAAGTTTGTTTTATCTGAATCAGCTTAAGATGAATTTTGAGAAGAGTTTAACTGTAACATGAATTCTCAAATGACAAAATTGCCAAGTGCCCGTTTTTCTCAGAAGGTACAAGAAAAATAATTTTTTCATAAAATTGTCACCGACAATAAGATGTAAGTTCTGTATGCAAACACCAAATGCAAAAATTAGTGGCTTACAACAAGTTGATGCTAATTAGAATACCTGAACAAATATTCCCCCCCCCCTTCAAAAGGGTTTTGTTTTATATTTGATTGAATACTGCAGGTAGTGCTCACTTCGAGGTATTTACATCTGGCAGTCTCTCATTACAGATTTACTGTCAAGAAATATCTTCTGAATTATGTTCTTTGTATTAAGCATTCCAGTCTGCTCAACAGAAGATGTTTTCTTGCTCCAATACAACGAAAAACCACATAAGATGCAAATGACCAGGGAAAAGATTCCAGTCTGCTCAACAGAAGATGTTTTCTTGCTCCAATACAACAAAAAACCACATAAGATGCAAATGACCCGGCAAAGGATTTAAGAAATTTTCCTTTACAAAATGAGGATTATATTTAGATAACTCTTCTTTACAAAATAACAACTTTCTAAAAAAACAGTTCAGAACTTTTAACCAAGCATTGTTCTAATAGATTATCATTTGCTCAGATTCCAAAATACCAGACAGTCAAAATTGGTCCAACAATTTTCTCTGCATCCAAGTCCCCTACCTTTTATTTTTATAAACAGGATACTGAGCATTTGGATCCAAGATGGCAAAACTGTTACAGATAATAATAGTGATTATATAATTGATTCGGATCAAATATTTTGTTAACATTTTACGACATTCCCAAATGACATTTCTTTCTGGACAGCCTATTAAAAGCATGTAACAATAAAAAATATAATATTTTAAAGTCATAAAATTTTAAATTTCCTTAAAATCTTTACTTCCCTGAAACAAAAAATACTTAATTACATTAAATGTTTATTTATCCTATGAAAATATAGATATTTAATAACCAAAACAGATAATATTATCTAGTCTTTTGGGTACTTCTTTGTTATAGCGGTTCCCAAACACATTTTGCGATTTTAGATTTGTCCCAAGATATCAGCTATAATTTCCCAAAGATCGTGAAGCAATAATATAAAAATAAACAGAATATATAACAACAATAATACTCGTATATCATTTCCCAAGAATATTTTTGATAATCCTTATTATTATTTTATCACATTCCAGTCAATTGCAGCCCTTTCACACATATTAAGCTGCTTCTTAACACCATCTCATGGACGTCAGCTCCTCTACCCAAGAACACATATATCTAATAGCAGTGACAAATCATAGTCTGGAATTGCTGAACAAATTTCCAACATGAATGCCCTTCTTTTTTCGATTTTTAACACTGCACTTCCAAATGATTCCATCATTAACATAAAGTTTCATGTTGTGGCCATTTTGAAATACTTGTTAGTCTATTTTGAAATTCTTGTTCGTCCAGTAAAAGACTTCTTGAAAAAAAGATATGGCATCCACCTCACTACTTGGTAAATTAAAGATTGTTAACATTATATTCACACACGCACACATACAAAAAAAGCAATGAATATATGTTTAAATAAGCAATGCGAATTTAAGAAACCTCATAAAAAATTAATACTACTATATGAACATGCACCAAGAGCAAAAATGCAACAATGTGCTAATATACGATTGCATAGCAAAGTATAAGAACACACAGCCAGTACTAATACACGATCACATGGCGAGGCATAAGAATACACAGCCAGATTTTACTGAGATATCTCGACTGACTGTCGATTCAGTCTCGGGGACTGCTATCACAAAGAAGTACCATCTTTTGTTATAATACAGATATTCCCCATTTTATGAATTTTTACTCTAATGCTTTGCTTACCTACATTAATATTTTTTCTCTAATAAACAACACAATATAGAATAACTAACACTTTGGTTAACATATGAAATCTTAAGAAAATTTTACACTCTTACAGATAAAAAAGTGAAAAATATGTAATATATACTGACTGCTAAAACATACAACATCAAAAGCACAGAAGTATACTGGCCTGGGCAGTTTTGCATCATATGATAGGAAAAGTATGTTGTTCTATCAAATATTCAAGCATACTTTAAAATTCAGCTTTTCAACATCAGCCAAAAAACATGCTACAGTTTAATATTAGTGCAAATATGCTAGAAACTGCCGAAGTAATGATCTGACAGATAAGAAAGTGATATTAATAAATTATTGCCTCATGCCTAAATCCTACTTTCTGTATCTCCGTCTGTTAATCTCTCAGCTGAGCTTGCTACATCATCTTCACTGCTAATATTTCTTAAAATTTAAGGTGCTTGCTGTTTCCCAATATCATATCTTAATATGAAATTATAGTATACACATATCTACATGTGTTACTTCTATTTAAATGACTAGTGTATATATCAGGTATTTTCTTTTACTACTACTATAGATTTACATTTGTTATCCGGCATTATTTGATAATTTTTTGAAGAATTCAAAGCACTGAAAACTCTTTGCCAAATAATTTAATGGCTACTGCTTCTTTATATTGTGCTTTAGGTCATTATGACTCGTAAAAGTTTTCGTAGAAATGTTCTACTTTCATAATATAAAAGAAAATTGCATTTAAAATCTCAGAGCAAAGCAAATAACTAAATTCTTAATAGGCATTGTTACTCGTTTGACTTGGAAAAGAACTGCAAATCCTCTTCAATTGAAAGCTTTATAAGAACACTTGAAAAATATGCTAGAAATGTCAGCAATTTATCCCTAAAATAGCCATTTCAAATCTATTGTACTGAATTTAAAATAAAGTTATTTGTTCAATGTTTCAGCACTGATTTCAAATATAACGTAATCCCAAATTTGAAATTATTTATACAATTGATTAGTGCTTCTTTCAAGAAATGTTAGATACATTAGAAATCATTCAAATGATGTGTGTGTGATTATGGCAAAGCCTCGAAGGCTATCTGCCTAAGGGGAGGGATGCCTTCGTGGAGGACTTTCTAAGGGAAACTGGCTCGTATACACGTCACACATGGGGAAAACCACGAAAATGCCCATGCAGCCAGCCCGTTCGCGGGATTCGAACCTCGGACCGAACTACCAGTGTTCAGCGACTTTACCGCTCGGCCGCTGGTGGACCCATTCAAATGATGAAATACATTGAAAAGCTGTTAGAATGTTACAATTTGGAGGAAAAAGGCTCATACTGTGAAAGCCTTCATGATCATGGCATCACGATTGTTGAATCATTACCAACATAATCAGACCATCTCTAAAAGACCCAAATCTAGATATCATAGGATTACTTCATAGCGAGATGATTACTTTCTGTGCAAAAGTGCAAGACACTGTAAAACTCTTAAAAGCAAATCAAGTAACGTCAGACCTCTTTGTTAGCCCAGGAAGGATAATCTTAAAAAACTGTTTTACATAGGCATCATGAAGTCTACTAGGAATTTATGTGGATGTCTTTGTGATAATCCTCGCAAGAATTGACTTCACTGATTGTAATGTTTCTCCTGAAGGTTTAGTAATAACAGTCTGGCACCAAGGCAAAACTCTACAGAAGGTGTTTATATATTTTTGAAATGATTTTGCGGCAGTTTAATGTTAAAAACGTAAAGAGAAAATGAAAATGTGTGATCCAATTGCCCCCTTTTTGTCTGGACTGTAAGTCTGCATCATATTTTCATGATAAAGGAGCCCTTAATATTATTTCCAGGGGTATTGATTTCTATTCATCTTCTACTAATTTCTAAAGAACATCAGTTGTGGACTTAGAAACAGAAGTTGTGGACTCAGAACATCAGTTTTGCACTTAGAAACAGCTTTTTTCAGGAGACAAAAGGCACAACACGAAAGGCAATAAAAGAAATTCCAGGACTTTGCAGAAGTACACGGAGAAGGTATATATACAATACCTGTATCAATCTCCATTTTTTCAAGAAGTGCAGGGTTACTTTTTGAAGTACAACAAGTCATTGGAATAAAGAAATAGAATTTTTTCTGTAAATATCAGGCATAAAACATTCTTTTGAAGCTTTCTCAAGTAGATTTTAACAATTTTTCCTACTCTTATTTTAAATTTCCTACTATACAAGAATACTGAGACAATAATAAACTCCTGGCTGATCTTTGGAATATGGTAACAGGTAGTTTGGCAACATTTTGGAGGCGATAAAGGTTACTACCTAGGACTTTGGGAATAATGTGAGAAGTACTCAGTTCCGATTACGCATTATCTTGTGCGAGGGAAATGAGAGATCATGAGATATCTCATGTGACATTAATGGACGAATCACTGTTCTTTAATCGGAAAAGGGGGTAAATTTGTAAAAATATCTGCTGTACAGCATTAGTTTCATTCTATGTTCTGTGAAACAGCGTTGTTTAATATTTGGATCCCATGGTCGTATATAAAGTAAATCCGAAATTTTTATTGCGTTTATGTGCAATTGAAAAGAATTGCTTAATTGCGGATAAGTATTAATGTCGAACATGTGGGTATGAAATGAGATTGTGTGAAAGGAAGGATATTACAGATAAGTGAATGGCGGTGCAAGAAATCTGGTGAAAATGGACATTTTGTGATCCGCCATACACTCATTCTGTAGAAGATTAGGTAAGTTAGTATTTTTAATTATTTGAGGATATTATTTTTATGCATTGTTCTAAATGTAAGGAGTAAATAAATTAATATGGTATTATTGGAAAATTGTTATTAGCAATGATTTAGTTTAAAGTAATTAGGATTGTAAGCTAATTTTTATTAATTTAATGTATGTGCTTATTTATATTTTAAGTAGTGTTTTTTAATTTAATTATATTTTAATTAAATGATAGTTATTTTGTGAATTATATGTTTGTAGCAATTTGGTATACGTTTGAGTGGATGTAAACGTGCATGGAAATAATTTAAATATTTGACAGTAAGTATTTGTAACCATTTTTAATGTTTTGCTATGAATTTGTTGGTGACGTTTGTAATAGATAATTTAGAGGTAAAAGTTTTTGGATATTTTATTTATATTATACGTGGAAATGTTCATCCTTGGATAGGGTATATACTTTTTCCGCGATCAGGTAATTTCATATATGTGCTTTTTACCGAGTTTAAAGATTCACAAAATTTTCCTGCATTTTCGTGCAAATTTTTTTAATTTATGAGAAAATAGCAGTTTAGATGGATAAAGTCAAGAGTGTGCACAATGCCATTTTTGTGTAATTCTGGGATTTTTTTTTAAGTAAAAATAAGTCTACGTGTACATGGTTACTGTGTATGTGCGATTTTGAAAAATGCGGCAAGGTGTTTGCGATTCTGCACTTTTTCCCAATTCTGCAGTTAATATTTGTCATGATTAAGCAGTTTTGTTCCATAAAATTTCTAGCATAAGTGTAATTCGCTAGCAGATTGTTGGAAAAAGTGTTGAGTAAATAAAAAGAAAAGAAATATGTCTTTACTTCGTGAAGACAAAATGACGGCGAAAAAAAAAAAATATAGGGTTGCTGTAGCAGAGTTGGTCACCAAATTTTTGCCAAGTTACCATAATCCAACGATCAACCTAAACTCCTTTCTAAAACTTTTTTTTTTTTTTTTTTTTTTTTTCCAGCAATGGAGTCAGATTTGTACATTTTTTTCCTTTCCATTTTTGATAAAAAAATAGACTTTGTTACATTCATTTAGGTCAATCCATGCTTCATTAAGGGTCACAATGTCTTTCTATTTATCTCCTTCTTGATAGTTTTCATATAGGGTTCTAAAAATTGTTCTACGTTGAGCCACATGCCCCGGCAAAGGCTGGTGAACACTTTTTTTAAGTTGTAAACCTGGTTTTATTGTTGCTACAGATATATTTAAAGACTTTGCAACTGATTTCTGCATTGGCAGATTTTTATCTTGTTACCAGCAAATTTAAGTTTCAGCTCCTAAGAATAGAAACAGTACGTTTGAATATTCATTTGAAGGTCTACTTTCCATTTAGAAGTAATGATTTACTTTCCTCTTCTCAAAGAATAATATTGCTTCATTTTTTTTTTAATCCAATGGTGAACACTCGCCTATTAAACAGTAGCCACACCTGAGGCCAGAAATGGTGGCATCTAATAGGCGGCCACTATTGCCTCCTATGAAGGAACGGGCAGTTACAACCATGCTTTCTCCGGGATTCGAACCCTGGCCCTCCAGTACCGCAATAGGCTCCCTTAACACACTACAGTAAGCTCCCTGCCACCCTGCTAAAAATAACCTTGTGGACATTATCTACTTTAATAGAACACAGGACTCGGGATTTGCAAACGGTGTTTTCACTGATGGCTCTAAAACTCCAGGAAGCACGGGAACCGGATTCTGTATTTTTTCTGGAGGAGCTTTAACATACGAGTGGAAAAGAAAGCTCGCTTCTGAAAACTCTGTCTTTCAGGCAGAGTTCATAGCAATCAAAGCAGCTCTTCTCCACCTGAAGAATAATCCCACAGTGCCCAATATCATCTACACAGACTCAGCCTCAAGCCTCGCTGCAATAGCTGGAATTCGTTCTCGCAGTCCTATCGTCAGCAGCATTAGAGACATTCTAACACACATGCCTGCTTCGCAAAGACCCTCACTCATCTGGGTGCCTGCTCATATGGGAATAGAAGGAAATGAGAGAGCAGATGTTGTCGCAAAGGAAGCAGCGGATTCATCCACTTTTGCGAGAAGTCCCGACCCTTAGGCCAATCTCGGACCTAAAGAGTCGGACATTCCATCAGCTTCTAAGAATATGGCAAGAATGTTGGGATCAAGCAGTTCAGGGAGACGTGTTTACAATCTCATTCCCAAGGTCAAGACAACAATCCAAACTAATAGCAATTACATGACATATTTCCACACTGGTCATGGGCCCTTTCCTTCATACCTCTGCCGCTTTGGCTTGAGAGAGAATGGTAAATGTGAATGTGGGAAGGAGGGTCATCCAGATCATTTCGTGTTCTCCTGCCCACACACAGCACTGAACAGCCTCAAGCAACCAGGAGCCAGATTCTGGCCAAATTGGTTCCAGAATCTACAAAGAACAGAGTTGCCCAGCGGAAACTGAAAACAATAATTGACTACTGTACTAGCAATTACTCTTCTGACACTGGAAGATACTAGTCATAAAAGTCTATATAAGCTAGTTTAACATGTCAGCAACAGAATATGTGATATTTATGTTCATTATGTAATTTTGTATTTATGCTGTGCCAGGTTCTCATTTATATATCATTATGCAAGTATTTTATAATACATTATTAAGCAGAATTCAATTTATTTTAAAGGCGATTAGCCAGGATTAGTTATTATATTTATTTAATAAATATTACGTAATTACATAGTTATTCTTATTAAAATATTTGCCCGTTTTAAAGAAAAATATTTATCATATCTATAAATGTGATTAAGGACGTTACTTCACACAAAATTTTTTTAATTTATAGCAAAATAATTGCAGTTTACACGTCAAATTATTTTGCTACGAAATTAACTTTAGATCGAAAGTCAAATAAGAAACTTGGTTATATACTAAATTATTGGTTAACAATGCAGTCCTTCATTTTTAACAACACGTCATTGAATATTTTATTGCTTTAGTTCAGACAGAAAGAACTACGTAAAGAGACTGAAAATAGTAATTTTAATTCAAATTATTCCATATATAAGCACATTTGGCATTTAACGATTTAAATATAACACTGCTACTTAACAACCGTAATTCAATTAGCAAACGCCCACAAAAAAAAAAAAAAAAAAAAAAAATCAATTACCAAGTACAATTTACTACCTTTACTTCAGTAAATATGATAAAATATAAATCTTCGATATCACAGAAACAAGAAGTAGAACCAAGCAGAAAAGCTATATTAGATAAGAAACTACCGATAATACAAAACAGGATTATTCCCGTGATAGCAGCTGTCATTGAACTACTAACGTGACTTACCGGCGAACGAGTTTTGATAACTGGAACAGCTCTATAGATCTTGAAAAAATATTCTTCTGACAACTAGTATTGCAGTTGCTTAGGATAGGCTTCTACAACAATTACTTCATTCTTGAATCCTGACCGTGATTAATACAGAAGTAGGTTGGTTAAATACTAGGTTCGAACAGCATAAAAATCTCAAACGAGGTGAGTTTGCGCAAGTTCTATCCGCTTTATTTTATGGATCAACTGCATGCAGACGGTAGTCACGTGACAACTATCACACGTGAGCTCAAAAAATAACCGAAAGGCAGGGGACGAGTAAAAATTTAGATTTTGAATGGAATTGTTGCAATAAGAGGACGAAAAAAATTGCTTTAGAAAGAACGATTTTTTTAAATTCTGCTGAATTTTTTATGCAATTGTAGAGATGTAAAAAAATGGGGGGAAAGTAAAAATTGCTCTGTTCTTTTCCATTATTACTTATAGAACTAGAACAGAAGAAAAGTTAATCATAATTATAAATTTTAATCTTTCGACATGTGGATAACCTTCCTGAATAGTGCAAAGTAAATTTGAATATAGTGTTATATATGCTATACATATATATATTATTGTAGATAAATTAACTAGAAACCTGAATTTATCTGATTTTAAGATGCTTTAAACGTTTATTATCAAAATCAATTAATTATATATTATTTGCTACGAATCCATTAAACAATTCAAGCAAATTATATTTATGGAATATTTTCGTTACAGGAAGGTAAATATTTATGCTTTAAATAATTTCTTTGCTAAGCCGCGCATAACGGATGCATCAAGGTAAAAATAATTCCAATAACTATTAGTAGGGCTGTGTAATTTTCTCATTAAAAAGCTGAAAATGTTTCCAAAAATACAAGTTAAAAATGGAAACTTAGCATTTTTTCGCCAAAATAAATAAATCAATAAGTAAAAATAGAAAGTAAGAAATACAAATCACGGTTCCAAATGAAATACTGCAATAATAACGGGAGGGGGGTTAATCTTACACTTCTTCGGCTCTTTACAACTACTGACTGAATCTTTTAGCTGCTTTTTTTTTTATTCTTTCTGGGAATACACGCAAACTGGTACAGCAGATTCTGGATTATCCGACGTAAACGGGTGGGTAGAATATCGGATAAACGAAAATGTCAGATAATAAGGAGATGCTAAGAAAAAGGCCTATTAAACTTCAAACAATATTAGAATTTTATATATTATGAGTCTAATAATGATTTGTACAGCAAAAACTGTAAAAAATTAACTGAAAAATTAAATATACAGTCATACAATTATCCGAAGTTAAATATAGTTCGTTCAATGCTTGAAACGTTCAGCCCTGTAATGAATAAAGAAATTTTTTATCATAGTCTGCTTCCTCGACAAGTGCGGTTTCTTCAATCTCAAGTCTCGCCATCTTTGTGGCATCATGATGCCGACACCTGCAGCTTTGTTTTGTTGCTCAATATTTAATTAACGTAACTCCGTCATTATATAAAACACTGCGGGACTCAACAGCTTGATCGGGACTCAACAGCACTGCTTGATCTTCAGTTTCGTTTTCATCACATCTGGCAAAAGTGACAGTTTTCTTCATCAGTTACTTCATACTGATCATCATCCTTCATCTATCTTTCGATTTCTTGCAAAGACGCATTTTTTACATCCAGTGATAGCGCTGCACTAAGAGTAGTATGGTTTCTTCAGTTTCACCTGTGCTTTCCGTTTTTATATTTTCATCTTTGCTTAGCAGATTCTCCCATGATTTGACAATTTTTGTATCCCTTACGTGAGACATGGCCCGTGCAGTCTAATAAGCAACATCATTCATACACTGATGCGTTTAAATTTTTTAATCATATTTTGTCCTTCTTCAGTTTCTTTTACTATTGTGGATAGTGCAGCTTCCTGCAATAGTTCCATTTTATGGTCTCCAAAAGGCCCTGATCCATAGTTAGCATATGGTGGTTACATTGGACAGAAACATTGCCTTAATGTCACCGTCCTGAAGTTCCTCTGCATCAAGGTATGTTGGAGCATCAAGGTATGTCAAGCATCGAAACAGCTTTACTGAGTAAAGTATTTTCTTTCACAAACTTCTCTGATGAAACAATGAATTATTTAAAAAGAACCCGTCTGTGAAAATTTCACTGCATCCATGCATATGTCGGATAATACGAAATGTCAAATTGACCCTATTTCCAATAGTATATCTGAATGCACATGTTTCACAAGCACGTCTTCTTTAATGTTGTCTGGAACAATCCGTCTGGATTCGTCTTCGTACATACGTCTTCTTAAACATCGTCTGGATACGTCTTCTGAGTCTTCATAGATAGCCTTAAGATCCATCATTCGAATGCGTCTTCTCAAAATCATCTTCTTTAAGATGTCTTCCTTGACACATTCCATATGAGCAAGAAAGACATTTGTACTAAAATATATAGATGGACATTAATGTTACAAGATTACGATTACACAGATCTGGTACCCGTATGCGACATGTTGACGCTTTGAGTAGAAACGTGTGTGTATGATAATTCAAGATGGTATAACATTTAAGATAATTCAAGCTCTAGAACATTAGGCTCTAGGACGTACCAGACCCACGGGCCGACCGAAAAGCGATCTTTCCGGCGCTTTTAGAGCCACTAGTTCGTTATTTGTAACCCCGTGGCCGAGACCTTAGGATACAGATCCTAGCCAGTAGCTTCGTAGAGTTCTCTACGTCGACCTCCCCCCGGGGGGAGGAGAAGGTAAGGAATCACTCGTCTCACTGACGAGGAAAGATGTTAGAAAAACATGCATAAAAAAGAACTAAATCTTTTCATATTCAATGTTGCAAAATGAATAGAAATGTTATGATCTGCTTCCGTTGGCAAAGATTTGGGAACGGACAGCTTTTTTGCAACAATACACCATGATGTTTGATGAAAAAATATCCGCAAAGCGATCAAATTAATACACACAAAAATAAAGGAGCAATTTGTCTATTTTAGGAAAGAAAAACGAAACTCCGTAATGACTTGATGAATTTGATGACAGTTCTTTCTGAAAAGTCTCATAATTGAAAGCTAAATTTTGAGAGACGTACACTGACGATCCAAAACATTATGATCATCTCCCCATTCTCCAATGAACTCGTCTGGATGACGTGGAGGGCACGCGATTAAGTAGGAATGGTATTTAACAGCTGCTTAGAGAAGGTACATTAAGCTAAGATTCTGGGCCGTTAGACTTAACACTATGTGTGCAACACACTATGTGTGCAACACAACCGCCAAACCAGGCCCAGAGGTTCAATATCTGTCCTCGTACCTTGCAGAAGGCTGGTGCCATCGCCTTTCAGCGCCACTGGTCGTCAGTTTGCTACCTGCGGTCACATGGGATGGCCGTCGCCCAAGGACATTACTCAGAAAATTCGGGGCCCCACCTCAGTTAGAATACGGGATGCCATCCCGGGCTACTAGAACATTAGGCTCAAGGACGTACCAGACCCACGGGCCAACCGAAAAGCGATCTTTTCGGCGCTTTTAGAGCCACTAGGTTCGTTATTTGTAACCCCGTGGCCGAGACTATTTAAAATACAGATCCTAGCCAGTAGCTTCGTAGAGTTCTCTACGTCGACCTCACCTCGGGGGGAGGAGAAGGTAAGGAATCACTCGTCTCACTGACGAGGAAAGATGTTAGAAAAACATGCATAAAAAAGAACTAAATCTTTTCATATTCAATGTTGCAAAATGAATAGAAATATTATGATCTGCTTCCGTTGGCAAAGATTTGGGAACGGACAACTTTTCTGCAACAATACACCATGATGTTTCAGGTGTGGGAGAGTCATCTGACTTATACTTGTTACTTAAAGAACTTTGATAAACTAACTTGTTTCCGATGTAAACTAAGTCATATTGCATCTTTTAAAGAATGGGAACTTTTTTCCGAATTTCATAACAGGAGATCTGAAGAAAAGCCAGCTCTAGAGTTGACAAATAATCAGATCAAAAAGCTCCTAAGTCGAGGAAAGCGTCCCCTGAAGAATATGGTTCTGCACATGCTTCACCCTCACCTACAATGACGGTGGATTCTATTTCCCTAGAAAGACTTTTCTGAATCAGCGATTAATTTTGTCGGATTTTTCAGAAAAATTTTGAAATCTGCTGTGATTTTCAACAAATTGAAAACGCAGGAATATAAAATACAACTCGCTATGCAGTTAGATGGAGCCACATCTCTTCAAATTCCACGATTACTGTTTCCTCTCTGTCCAGTGAAATGTCGGCACCCTTTTTGCACCTTCTAGTCCTTCTTCGGAGTGCCTCTGACATGATTGACTCTACTTTCATCGCTACTAAGTCACCTTTACATCATGAAAAGCGGAAAACAGCGCGCAAATTTTCGCTAGTCTCGGTATGGGTCGGTAGTTGGAGTTGCGTTGGTAAGAAATCATTCTTACACTTACTTTTGCGAGTGATAGGAAAGACTAAGGAATTTGATAGAGAGCAGATTTTAATGGCCTCAAGTTTCGGGACGAGTATCTCCGAAACTAGACGACTGGTAAATTTTTCATGATCTGACGTTATCAGTTTTATGCATAGTCGATAAAAGATGATGAAACCAGCAGTAGACGCCAAGGTGTAGGCCGTCTACGCGTCATCAAATAAAAAGGACGTCGGAGGCTGTCCCGCTTGGTACAGCAAAATCGGCGCCAAACAGTGGCTCATCTGACAGCCCAATACATTGCAGGTCGAAGCGCAAGTGTTTCAGAACACACATTTCAGCGTACACTGTTGGATATGGGATTGCGCAACAGGCGTCCCACTCATCTGCCTCTGTTGACCACGCGTCATTGTCAACAGCGCCTACAGTGGGCCCGGGAACATCGAGACTGGACCATGGATAAGTGAAGACAGTTGCCTGGTTGGATGAATCACGATTTCTCATTTATCACGTCGATGGTCGAGTCAGGGTACTCTGTCTTTCAGACGAACACATACTCCCCCTGTACAGCAGGTAATACACAGGCTGGTGGTGCCAGTATTATGTTTTGGTGAACGTTGTTAGTGGCGGCTCTGGGACCCTTACTTGTGGAAGAACAGACCATGAAAGCTGCGAACTATCTGAACATAAATATGGATCAGTTGCACCCTTAAATGATGTCTGTCTTCCCAATTGGAAATGGAATCTTCCAGCAGACAATGCCCTATGTCACAAAGCTCAAACTGTGTTGGAGTGGCTC